CACCGGTCACTCACCTGCACGGAATGTCGAGGACAAGACTGTGCTGGGCTTCATCTGTTACATACCTTCGTGGTGTGGCGTTAGGACAGGGACAGGTTTTACCTTCACATTTTAACTGTAGTGGAGCGGAAAAAGCAAGGCCACGTGCAACAGGTGTCTTGTATTCCACAAGGGTTTGATTCATGTATCACAGCTGTAACAACCAGACAGGCTTACAAATAACATGTACATAGTTTCACGGCCCCGAAATCCAGAACTTATGAAGTCTTGTGTCCACATTTATTTAATGACTTTATAATTTATGTGCTGCAATGAGTGGAACAAGAAATGTTCCTGATCTGTTTTATATTTAGGATACAGATGGGCAAATCACGCCCCCACCCCCAATTCAATCTGCGAGCAGCGATATTAAATATTACTAATAATATCATAATATTTTGTCGATGTTTCACGGACAGTTTAAAGCTTAAGGTTCCTAATAACCTAATTACTATTTTCATTTATTGTACTAGAAGCTGGTATGAGAAAGTCGAATGATGCAGACTGCAAATTCGGTTCAGTGCTTAAGTTATGATGCGGCGATGTTAAAAAGGTGAAGTTGTCCCTGCGTGTAATTAATTAATTAATTAAGCACTACGCCATGAAAACGTCTGTGAAAGTGGACATATAACTCCACCATTCTCGACCTCGATATTAGATGGTCGCTTTATTCCCAGGGAAGAAACCCCCGGTATTTATTGTGCAGGATGCTATGTGGACACTGCAGTCTTTATGGCAACGCAGTCAGCAGTTTTGTGTTTCGGAAAGGAAAATCATCTCATTTGTATGAAGAAGACTGACTCAGGCGAAGGTATTTTAACGTGTAGTACCGTTGCTATGCAACAATCACGAAAAGGAACATTCGTTGCTTGGTAACGGCCGGCAGACACGTCAACAATATCCGAACTATTGCTAGGCATCCGCCCGTAACAGCAATGGAGGGATGTTAGAGGCGGTGTTTTCTGTTGGGTCCGCCCCGAGTCTGTATAGAGAGGAATCCTTGCCGGCTGAGTGTCTACCGTGTGGAGGCGGGGTCGAATACCTTCACCGTAACCCTGCGAGTCGTAGAAGAGGACGGAAAGGGACGTCTCGAATCTGAGACAGTAAAATATGGTCACGAGTCCCGTAGAACTCGGACCCGAAAATGACCGCGCTGGCGAGGACCAGGAGTAGTTTTAACGACAGACCCGTCCTCTTGTCAGAGACAGCGACCCACATCAACAAACCCGCAACTGTCTGACAGTAATAAAAATCTGGTCGTAAGCCCCAGACGGGTTCTTTATTCCAGGACAGACTGACCGTCAGTCGTAATATAAGACTCAGACTCAGGCTGAGTGAGTTCAGGTGTGGAATGTTAACCAGTGGATCCCCATCGGTAAGGTCTCGTACCAGGCAACGACTATTGGAGACTGTAACAGTATATATACGTGGGGCAATCCAGAAGTTTACGAAATTTGAATTTTGCGCGTGAATGGTTATGAGTATGTCCATGATTTATTCCAGCCGTCTTACAGTGCATACACTCATCCACTTCACTCTTCACTCCCGCACTACATGTTTCGGCACAAAGGTGCAATCTTCAGGTGCTTTTTGATTTACGTTAAACTATTTCACTGCATGCCTTGCCGTCTTCATACTAAAATAACTAAAATATATGTTCATCATATATATTGATAAATATTAAATATTAAAACTGTTCAGGATTTTTTTTATCCCTACGTCGCATTTCAGTACGCGAGTTATGAGTACATTGAAATACCGCTAGGTGTCTCCACACACACCCTTCTTGAATCAGTGTGGCAAGCGGCGTTGAGTTGAGTGGTTGGTGTATTGTTGGTGAACGTATTTCCATTGTTGTGTTTCCATGAGTTTGCGGTTTTGCGATGGCTGGCCTGAGAGAGCAGCGTGTCTGTATAAAGTTTTGTTCCAAACTTGGGAAAACCGCTGCAGAAACGCACCAAATGTTGAACCAAGCTTCTGGTGAAAATAGTTTAGGCCAGACACAAACTTACAAATGGTATAAGCGTTTTAAAAATGACCGAACACTGACTGATGATGACGATCGTTCGGGACGGCCGTCAACGGGCAAAACACCAGAAAATGTCGCAAAAGTTAGGGATCTGATTCTGAAAGATCCGTAGACTGACCATCCAAGAGCTCTGTAGCACCTTGGGACTAAGTTATGGTACATGTCAACGAATTTTGTCAGAGGAACTGAACATGAGGGGGATTGCGGCGAAGTTTGTGCTACGACTGCTGCAAAATGAACAGAAGCAGCATCGCTTGGAAGTCTGCAGGAAACTTCAGCAACAGCTTCAAGAGGATCCAAACTTTCTTTCGAAGGTTGTCGCTGGTGACGAAAGCAAGCAGCAATCGTCGCAATGGAAGAGCCCTTCTTCACCTCGGCACAAAAAAAGCTCGACAAGTCAAGAGCAACATTAAGTCCATGTTGATCTGTTTTTTGATATTGACGGGATTGTTCATAAGGAGTTCGTCCCTCCTGGTCAGACAGTCAATTAAGGGTTCTATCGCGATGTTCTAAGGCGTTTGAGGGAGAACATGTGGAGAAAACGTCCAGAGAAGTGGCGCACGAACGGCTGGGTACTCCACCATGACAACGCACGACCACATACGGCTTACATTGCGCAGGAATTTTTGGCTAAAAACAAGATGGCAGTTGTTCCCCACCCACCGAACTCGCCAGACTTAGCTCCATGCGACTTCATTCTCTCCCCCANAGAGAGAGAGAGTGTTTTTAATTTTTTATTAATATATTTCGGGAACTTTTGGATTGCACCACGTATATATGTATATATATATATATAGAGAGAGAGAGAGAGTGAGAGAGAGTGTGTGTGTTAAAGTGATCAATAAATCGAGTCACCAGTCCAAACCCCGTCTATAGTCACACCCCAAAAATCGTGACAGTAGCACACTGCTAACTTATCTGTGTACGAACTATCATGAAGTTACCCCACAAACATCTGACATCGTTCACCATGTAATATTTATTTTTCCACACATGTATTATATACCTAATCTGCAGAATCTGCAATGTTTATGTTCAATAAGTACTGGAATTAAATTGGTATAATAGCATAAATAGACCTATCCTATACAATCACCAACAGAACTTCACAATTATATTGTGACATGACACCTGAAAGACGGAACAGTGGAGCCAGAAGAGACGCCCATTGCTAGGCAATGGTACGTGCACTTGACGAAAAGTCAACCATATTCATAAGAGACAAACTTGTCACAGAGGGTGTTACACAAGGACTGTGACTGCAAGGGTTCAATTAAAAATATATCTGGTCATAAGTCTCAAGGGGCTTGACGCCAAGACAAACTGCATGGCGGTAACCGCCACTCGTAAAGTAATTTTGACTTTGACTTAAGGGGCTTGTGGGAATCTGGGGCAGACATCTGCCTCTTAAATTTGAAGTGCCTGCAAACAAGGTTCTCCACACCATTGGAAATTTTTCGAGGTGCACAGTGGTCCGCGATTTTCACGCGGCTTTCAACCTTCCATATATATGCGATTATATAACAAAACTGTGTAGGCAACAAGCAGAAGGTATATAAAATCAAGAGCATGAACATGATCGCAGTATAGGACAAGGAGAAGCCAAACATAGAAAACATTAGAGGCTTAAACTTGGCAGTGGTCAAGCTTACAACCGTTCAAGTGATTAAGCTTCCATTGTAGCATAAGATAAATAAAATAAGAATGATCTGCTTTCCAAAGTCTGGACTGACAGAAAACTTATTCACTGTGCAACAAGAAGAATTTTCTATAACATGCTACATGTGCAATACATACATTTGGCAAAGGCCAATCCTGTTCATAATAGGCGACAAACGATAGTCCCTTCAGAGAGGATTTACATAAGGTCTATGCCCGCAAGCATTCAGTTGCTCCCCAAAAGAAAATTCTCATCATGAACCTCAGGGGTCTTAGCACTATGACAAACTGACTGGTGCTCAACCACCAGTCATACTTAACTCTGGACACTTAAGTCAGGTGCCTGTGTGGAGGTGGGTTCTAATACCTCCACTGTAGCCCTACAAGTCGTAGGAGGTGACGAAAAGGGAACCCAGTGCCTGGGGATATAAATACAGGGACCTGTCCTTCCAGGTTTGGGGAGTCTCAAATCTGAGACAGTAAAATAAGGTCATGAGTTCCATTGGGTTTGGACGTGAGAATGACTGTGCTGGCATGGCCAGCAGCAATTGTATGAATAAACAACAGACCTTCTCTAGTCAGAGAGGGCACCCCACATCAACAAACCTGTAACTGTCTGACAGTAACAAAAGTCTTGCCATGGGTCCCAGAGTGGGCTTGACACCAAGACAGTCTTGCTGACTGACTGTTGGTCATAACATAAATTTGACCGAGTTTCTCACAGGTTGGAGCTGGTCTTCAGTTGCAGTGTTAGACGCCGCTATCAAGAAGCGACCAGTGAAGACTTAGTGTTTGTGGTGGTGATTTTTAATGTCTGTAGATTTGTGAATGTGTTGTAATTATATGTAGTTACAAGTTATAAGCATTCAATAAATCCAACTATCAGTGTCTAGTCTAGTCACATGTGAAATTGTGTGCATGTATATTTATTTATTTCCCCATATGTACTATTACATACCAGTATGGGATAATTTTTTTTACTAGTGGGGTGGGACTAAGTCCCTTGTACCGCGGCCATTTCTGGCCTATTGTACTAGCCCTAGTTGATAGGTGAGTATGATTGTGGAAGAATTGGTGGAATTAAGATTGGCAGGGGAAACCGAAGTACTTGGAGAAAACCTGCCCCAGCATCACTTTGTCCACCACAAATCCCACTTGACCAGACCCAGCATCGAACCCGGGCTGCCACAATGGGAAGCCAGCGACTAACTGCTTGAGCTATGGTGCTGCCCAAGTATCGGATAATGCTGACATTTCTTGTCTTCTCTTACAGTGAGAATCCACCAGTAACAAGATGGCAGTATTTAATCTTCTATCGTCAGTTGCTGGATTTGTCAAAGTACGATTCCTAATAGACAAGGCTGTGATAGACAACATGGTGTTCAGATTACATTATCGCATCACATCTGCAATATTGTTTGTTTGCTGTATCCTGTGCACTACGAACAGTTTGATAGGTGAGTGAACACACTGTTATTTCATATGAAAGATAATTTGCGAGTGAACCATTTTTTTCTTTGTATGATATGTTCTAAATGCTGAATAAATTACATGTATAATTTTCTTACAGAAATATTCTAATTGGTCAGTTAACCATCTGTTGCTTGTATGAACACACTCAACTGCTGAATGAACAGTTGGTTAGTGTCTTTTATAGAAAATTCTAATTATTGAATAGTCCTACTGTTCCTGGTATGGAATTTCACCTTTAATTGGATTTGAGAGGTACTGCCCTACAACTGTTAAAATGGTCAGCATGCACTTACTATGGACACTTAGACATCAAGATATATGTGGGCTGCAGAAGCAAGATTACAAGAGGCAGGGCTTCTTTCTCGCTTGTTAGAAGTGAACACAGTGGAGCGATGGTGCCTGTCAATCCTTGTTTCAGTTTCAGTTAAATCTTGTGTGGGAGATCTACAGTAAGCATATGATGGAAATTTCATTTTCATTCACATGAGCTGAATGATCATGATTTGATTCATGACAGAGGAACAGTTTTCTGTTCTGTTCATCATTGTATGTAGATCAGCTTGGTGCCTACTCAGCCTCCTTTGCAATGAGTAATAGGGTCTCTTTTCTTGGAAGTAACAAACTTTGTTCATGAAGCTCACCACTCATCTGCATCTAGAGCTCTGTGAAAAGTAGGTAGAACTTCGCCCCATATCCATATAGCTTTCATATCATGCAGCTTAGGCACAGAGGCAACTTTACATTATCACTGGTATTATTTAATGTAAAGAATATGTATTAATTTCGCAACTGTCTACTGGTTTTCCCCTTCATTGTCAGTGAGACAACTGCTGCTGCTTGCAGGTGACCCCATCAGCTGCATTGCAGATAGTTCCCTCCCTGGGCATGTAATCAACACATACTGCTGGATCACCTCCACATTCACGCTACCACATCAACAAGGCAAGCCTGTAGGAACCCATGTAGCCCATCCTGGAGTAGGGACCTATGTTGAAGGTGAAAATGAAACTCGGTATCACTCCTACTATCAGTGGGTTCCCTTCATGCTGTTCTTCCAGGTAAGCATTCAGGGAATAATCTACGAGAAATTTTATATAAGATCTGAAAGTTTCTGACGCTATATTAATACAATTATTGAGTTTTTGGACAGTATGCATAGTCTCGTTCTTTATTCAAGACGCAAAATTTCCGAAACTGGATTCTGTCTCTGTCCTCAGGTAAAGGCCTAAGCAATAAAGATGGTTCCTTTCTCAGGCTGGAGAAACCAAAGGATTTGCCGCTAGGTTCACACAGATAGCCTCTGTTTTGAAAGCAATACATATGGATGATTCTGACTGCTCCTATGTTTAATAATCGCAGTAACTGTGCAATTCGGTAGTAACAGAACTCAAATCACAACTAATACTGAAACCTTATATGAGACATAGTCTGCAGCTAGTTCCATAAACTTCATAACAGTCTCAGTAACTATAGCAGTGGCACCCAAACGTTCAGTGCAATGAATGTCAAAACCTGATGTGAAATGATCCTGAGCTAGTGCTAGAGAATTTATACCAAGTCCAAATAATCAGCTTAACGGCAACAGCACAGTAACGGTTCAACACAGCTAGTATCAAAACCTGACACCACGCATGATTCTGAGTTAATGCCATCAGATTAATAACCAGTCAAGTAGTCAGTTTGACAGCTATAGAACATAAAGGTTCAATATCATTATATGAAAATCTGATACCAGACATGATCCTGAGCTAGTGCCATCTAACTCAAAACAATCAAACTAATAACTTTATAACTACGAAACCCAAAGTCTGATACCAGACATGATCCTGAGCTACTGCAATCAAATTCCTATCAATCAGAACAACTATTATCAAAGCCTGATACCATACACAATCTGTACTAGTCCCATTGAGTTTATATGCTCATAGCTCTTTTCCTAAAACCTGAGCACCAGGAAGCATTAATAAAACAATGCAGAATAAATGATACAGGCACTAAGATCCTCATCTTCCTTCAAATTTAAAAGTATCCTGTGTTGCAGGGCCTTCTGTTTTACGTACCACATTGGATCTGGAAGAACTGGGAAGAAGGCAAGGTTCGAATGATCAGTGATGGCATGCGAGGGTCCATGATTTGTACCAAGGATGACAGACGAGATCGCCAGAGCAGACTAGTTCAGTACATGCTGGATACGCTACATCTACACAACACCTATGCTGCTGGATATTTCATGTGTGAGGCTCTCAATTTCATCAACGTTGTAAGTTTTGTAATTTGCCCTGGAGTTAAGAAAGCTTTACTGGATTTGGAAACAGAAGCAGTGATTACCATCTTCGAATAAATGCAAGAATACTGTCAAGCATATCCAGTTCTTAATTAATAAATAATTGTGAACCTTAAATCTGGCCTAGAAAACCAAGATTAACAGCTGTGGGGCTCTGACTACGTGACACCCTCTATCCGCAAAAGTTGGCACTAACTTTGCCAACAAGCGGCGGTTGCTCGGTCAGTATAGTTCGCTTGCCAACCGCAAAACATGAAGTTTGTTTGTTTTGTTTGTTTTGTTTGTGAAACTTAACACATTTCACCCTCACTCTGCCATCTTGAGGGATGCCCAATGGTAAGAGAAACTTTACATAATTTACATAAAATTATGTAAGGATCAGCCAAACAAGGCTGAAACATGTTGGGATTCATAACTATTTATTAACTATTACAAACTGGATACCCTTAATGATGTTCTTGTATTTATTTAAATGTAAATAGTATATCAGCAACAATGACTTATGAAATTGATGATTATCCTTTAGAGCTGGGTATTATATAAAGAGTGCCTTCATTCTAGATTGAATGTAACATCTCCATTACACTAAAGTACACTATAGAAATAAGCCAAAGAGTTGGTGGTCTGACTGCACTAGGGCCATATTTGAGACTAGACTAAAATTATTACTTGCTGCATTCCTCCTCGTCTGTCATTCAGGACCTCAACATCATTTGCACATGATTAATGACAAGTATATGGAAACTTACACTGGCAACACCTCAAGACTGTGTAGTGTTGAATGACAGGATGATTGATGATTAATGGATTAGAAATGATTTGGAAGGAAGGAAGCAGTCATGGTGGCATAATTGAAGTGCCAGTGTAGCATTTTCCTGGAGCGGCTAAGCAAAACTATGAACAGCCTCATCCAGCCAAACCTGATACCTCCAAAAACAAGTGTAAGGCCCTGCTTCTACACCAGATTGCTCATTATATGATTTGTCACGCAGCCAACATAAATTGCACTGGGGAGTGCCAGCAAGCACTTATCAGAGCAGAGAAGATTCCATTAATGCACTTAAATGTGCTACAGAAATCAATCATGGAAGTGTCAGGAAAGTTGGAAAAATATGACTAGGAAAGAGTTACTTTCTATATGATCCAGCTATTGCAACGTAAGCATATCTACTGAACATAGGTTCCCTTATGTTGGCATGAACATGACTGCACCCGGTTAGTATGAGATGATGATCCACCTCTTATTACTGGGATAATGTTATTTCTAATGAAAATGGTTCTTACACAGGTTGGTAACATATTTTTTGTGGATGTGTTCCTCGGAGGGGCATTCTTGAAGTATGGAACAGACGTAGTAAGATACTCGGGCTTGAACCAAGAGAATCGGACAGATCCTATGATTGCTGTCTTCCCTCGTGTGACCAAATGCACCTTCCATAAATTTGGTCCTTCAGGTATAAAAATTTTCATGTAGTTGTAATATAATCTGGCACACCTTGTCTAATTTTGCGATTCCTTTGTATTGCATATGTTAGTTTACATTCATATGGTGCTTTATACATATTCACCAAATGTCTGATTTCTTTATGTATCAGCCGGACAGGCATTTAGACTTCTTAGTAGCCATTACTTTTCTGGTTTCCTTAAATTTTGTGACTTTATAACACTTTAAATGTGGAGATAAGACCAGCTTATTCTGCACATAAACGTAATATTTATACATCACTGCATCATCATGTTGAGACACAAAATTGTAACTTGCCCTTGTTTTGTAGATACAGTCTTCATGAGGGCACTGGAACTTAATTGATCTTTCTTACTTACTCACTCACGGAGCTGAGCCCTTGTGGAGGAGCCACCAATTATGCAGCTACTCAAGAATTTCCCAGCATTTTATGGAACCCGAAGGTTCATTACCATGTTCACAAGAGCCCTCCACTGGTCCCTATCCTGAGCCAAATCATTCCCATCCATACCATCCCATCCTATTCTCTCTTTCTAAGATCTATTTTAATATTGTCCACCTACCTATGCCTTAGTCTTCCCAGTGGTCTCTTTCCTTCTAGCTTTCCCACCAATATCCTATACGCATTCCTCGTCTCCCCCATTCATGCTACATGTCCCACCAACCTTATCCTCCTCGACTTGATCATTCTAATTTCACTTGGGGAAGAGTACAAGTTATCAAACTCCTCATTGTGCAGTTTTCTCCAACCTCCTATCCCTCTTTGGTCGAAATATTCTCCTCCAACACCCTGTTTTCAAACACCCTCAGTCTGTGTTCCTACCTTAATGTCAGAGACCAAGTTTCACAACCATGCAGAACCACAGGCAAAATTATAGTTCTGTATATTCTAATTCTTATGTTTTTGGACAGTAGATGAGAAGGCAAAAGGTTCTGGACTGAATGGTAGCAAGCATTACCCAAGTTCAATCTCCTCATAATTTCCTCCTGAATTAGGTTTCGATCTGTTATCATTGTTCCCAAATATCTGAACTGTGCCACATTTTCAAAACATCTGTTTCCTATCTTTTATGTCATGATTTTGCCCTGCATTTTGGTGATGAGACAGCAACATACAAGGGCTGGATAAAAAGTAGTGGCAACACTACTGTACCATGAAAGATGTGCTTCAGGTGGCACTACCGCCATCTGTAGCTGACAGCAGAAGTTCAGTTGAAGTAGTGCAGTGAGTGGCTCTGGTTGTGTTTCATGGAGTTGCATTGTGCATCATCTTCAAGTGCAGGAGCCCAGTTCAAGCACCCTAACAACATGTTTATAAAACAAGAACAACACTCCTGGATAAAAATTGAAGTTGCATGAGGTCGTAGTGCACAAAATTGTTATCAGGGCCTGCGAGAAGCATGTGTTGATGCTGCTTTGCCATATCACACAGTGGCACAATGGGTGAAATTGTTTTGTGAAGGAAGGGATGCCATTCAGGACAGCCCTCGTTTAGGACGCCCCTATGTTGACAACCACACAATTCAGCTTCTTCCTTTTTGCTGGATGTCAATCATCAATGGGCTGTCTGGGAGTTAGCTATTGAGGTAGGCGTATGTCACAAAACTGTGCTCCACATTCTGCACGATATTCTTGGATACCGCAAAACTGCAGCATGTTGGATACCCCATACAGTGTCCGAGGTGCAACAATGGCAACGTTATGCAATTGCACAGGACTTGTTGTTGGACCAGTACCAGAAGGAAGGTGAGGACTTCCTTGGAAGGATCGTCAATATGGACGAAACTTGGGCTCACTCATAAAAACCGCACTTGAAGCGACAATCAAATGAATGGAAGCATCCTGGCTCTCCTCATCCAAAGAAAGTGCGCCCTACACAGAGTGATGTGAAGGCAGTGTTGATTGTGGCATATGACACTGATGGAGTGATACTGCACCACACTGTACCTCAACGACAGACAGTAAACGCTGCCTGCTACTACAATTTCCTCTGTAATCATCTTCGTCCAGCACTCAGGAGAAAGCGACGAGACTTGTTGGCAATGAACCCCATCATCCTTCATGACAATGCAAGGGCTCATACTGCTGACACTGTCAACGATCTCCTTCACCGCTGGCGATGGGAGATACTGCAACATGTCCCATACTCACCCGATATGAGTCCGTGCGATTATGATATCTTTGCCAAATGAAAGAACCCCTGTGAGGGACATGTTACAACACAAGAGAGATTATTCATGCTGTAGGGCGGTCACTGCTGGACATCGACAGAAGTGGACGCACTGATGGTGTACAACGTCTTCCACAAATTTGGCAGAAGGTGCTACACATGAGGGGCGATTATATTGAAGGAATGTAAGTGTGTTTACCTCAGGTAATAAAGTCATTTGAGAACTATAGAGGTGTTGCCACTACTTTTTATCCAACCCTTGTATACTTAGTTTTCTCTGTGTTTACTTGTAGAGGAACCTCTTTACTTTTCTTTATGGTATCTACACAGGCCCATTAGCTCAGTTGTTTAGAGCTTGCCCTAGTGGCATGTAATTGATCTGTTGATATTAATACATAACAAATATCTGAAGTCTTAAAATTATGAAATGGAGTCGGAATTATAGAATCACAAATTAATGACAATTTCTTTGGATTTCAAGATGTATCAGTTTTATAAGCACGTCGCTACATTTGCACAGTAAGATAAATGTTTGTTTGATATAAGTCGAGATTATGCAGAGCAACACTACTGCATTTTCCATCTTTCTCGTACACACTTTATAATTAATGTAGGGTCAGTCATGAAGTAGGCTTGATATTTTTTATATCTATATTGCTTGAAAAGGTGCCCCTGTATTATATATCAGTATGGAAGAAGAAAAGGGAACATCTATTCATATATGTATTGTTCACAGGCACAATTCAGAAGCATGATACGTTGTGTGTCCTGGCCCTTAACATACTGAATGAGAAGATCTACATCTTCCTGTGGTTCTGGTTCATCTTTCTGTCTGTGCTGTCTGGCCTTGCCCTGCTGTACAGCACTGTTATTGTGGTGCTTCCATCCATACGTGAGACCATACTGAAGAGACGCTTCAGATTTGGTACCCCAGCGGGAGTATCAGCAGTTGTAGACAAGACACAGGTGAGTGTTTACACTGACATTACACTGTCACAGTCCAGTTCCTCTGTGCATGATCATCAGCACTTCATAGTGTTCTAAAATTATAAACTGCATCCATGAGAAAGGTATACATCTATAAATACAAGCATCAGCACTGAACCTGGATCCACTTAACACAGTAACTGCCAGTGATGCCTCATGATGTCATAACCAGTCACAGAATATTTTATCCTTTCTTCATCCAGTTGCCACATAACCTTCACAGATTATATTCCAAGCTTCGAGGAATTGAAGTGAGCCAGTATTGGACATTATATAAAAAATAAATGAATTTCTCCTATCAAAAAAACTGCATGTTTTAATCAGTTGTAGTCATGGATGTTGGTCCTCAGATTTAAGCAAGGTTCAAATGTCCATAAATGAATTAGGTTGTAAAATATCATTTTACAGTAATAACGTTTGGTTTTTACATAATATTTATTCCATTCTAAGGATTTAATTTATTTAGTAATTACAATATTCCCGATTCTTTCACTGAAAACTTCATACATGGATGCCATTATTTTAACGTTTTTATCAAATACAATGACCGTATACAGTCAACTCTAGATTATCCGGGTGCGGATTAACTGGTTTGCGGCTTAACCGGGGCTACTGAGGCTTTTTTGAGGCTTATATGTTGTTTAATCTTTATTCACTTTTGTTTCACATGGCGAGTTGTGACACTATTTTCGCACTAGTGTGAACCGAGCTCTGCATTCTTTGGTCACATTATGCTAACACAATGTTTTAGGGTAGGGGTGAAAGAATGCAAGGATTTGTGGAAAGTGACAGATACATCGCCCCAGTTAGTATCTTTGTATTGATCTTCAAGTGCGTTAGCAAAATGTCAGTCTGTAAAAGGAAGCGTGTTGTGTTAAGTATTCAACAGAAAAAGGAAAATGCCGTGAAAAAGTAAACGACAATATTAAATTTTTTTAAGTGTTAAGTGTGAATATTCGTAAAAAGTGTTGGATGTTGTTGAAGACTGTGATTGAAATAACTAATTCATACTTCAGTGTAATGTAAAAAAAAGTATTAAATAGGCCATGAGATGACATAAAAATGAGGTTGAATAAATTTAAATGCAGGTAGGCCTAGAGTATTATGAAGGTACAGTATTACAGTACTAATTTTAATAAAATTTGTCTTAACCCAGTTTTTGATTGATCGTGATTTTCATCGCCACCATTATCCCGGATAATCGAGAGTTGACTGTATCTACTTTCAGTTTGGAAGGTCATCCATACTTAAGGCATACCTTAATTCCTTCTTCTGAAATGAATTACAAGTTACCACCCTAAAATAAATAATCTGTTCATATTCTTTACTAGTTCACCATTCATGGCAAAATGGACATCAGCTAATCCTTGAAGCACAGTTGATAGAACATCAGACAGTATGGAAAATCAAGAAAGTTGTTGATGGTTGAATATTCACCTATATCAGTTTTAGAATACAGAAATTCAGACAGTGAATAAAAATTTGCAGCCAACTGAATTAAATCACTATTTTGAGACCACACAAGTGTCATGACAGCAAAGAAAACTCACTCATATAACTTGGGCTACTAATGCTATCTCTGATTATAGTGAGAATACTGAAAGCATAAAAGGAGAGAACTGCCATAAGAAATGTGTTCCATCATGTTTTATATATAATTTTGTATGTTACAGGTTGGAGACTTCCTGTTGCTCCACTTACTGGGGCAAAATATGAACATGGTAGTGTTTGGCGAGATACTGGATGAACTAAGTCGTAGACTGAATGACTACATGCATAACAATGTTCCTACAGCACCGTCTACCATGGAGATGTCTCCTATATACCCTTCAAAGGAAAAGTTCCCTAAAGAGACAGAAGCCTAGCACCTCCTGAGCTTTGAGGAAAATTCCAGTGACTGACAAGTATAAGAAATAAAACAGACAAAATGGACATTTCTGGAGTGCATCTTTATATGCATATATATATGGCTTCAGATGTTCTCAGAGCAGCACATCAGGATTCCTCAACACAGTTAAAAAACAATGAATGTTCAAACACCAAGAGGAGACTGATGGTGTGTTTCTATCTGAAAACCACAGGCTTCCGTATTTTCTGATAATTCTTACATACTTGCACTTCATACTAAGTATACCCCAAATTCTGTAATTCTGCAAATAAATACTTGTTACTTACTTTAATAGTGTGAACTAGCACCAGCAGTTGTGGGCTAGTGTCACTCTCTGGAATTGTCCTCAAAGGCTGGAATTTCATGTATTACTGGGGTTGTGTTTCAAACAGTGAAAGTGTTAACAGTTAACATGAATAATTTAAGAATATAACTTCAAGGTTTGAAGGAAATTCCATACATCCTCCAAAATATGAGTTATCTGTAGCTCACATAATGGCTAAATTAGAGTAATCGTATTAGTATAATGATGAATATCAGTTTATTATAATATTCACATGTTTTGACTGCTATTGCCTACTAGCTTATGAATGATTTGTTAGGTTAGTTATTGCAGGTTTTTGACAACGAATTGTTGAGGGTTGCCTTTTCATCAACATAAAATAGGTAGTTAAGTAATGTATATTATAAGCAAGAAGAGTGTAGTTTCACTGAACTGTCATTCCTATAACATTCCAAATAAAGAGAACTGTTTAGGCTCAAAACAATTATTGTCAGTTTTGTCTCATTTCTGGTCAGTATTACGTTGCCCTATTCATAACTGGTTCTTGTAAGGCTTTGGCATATATGTGCTGCTTTGAATATACTAATCACATAGTTCAGTCATCAGTAGCTGATTGGCAAGTATGCTAATATCCCTGCCACCTGATTTATGTGATGTGGCAGTTTTGTCAGAAACACTGGGGACTGGGGGATATTGCAGTGCTTGATGCCAGAACATTGCTACAAATACCAGTGAAATCAGAGAGTTCTATTATCAGTTTTGTTTAAAGATGGTTTTACATGTCACATTATATAATCTGATGTTCTGGCATAAATAAAGCAGTGATATGCTCTACAAGAATTATTGGCTTAATGAGTCACTTGTGTCATTTTAACATGACAGAACATCATATTATTTTAAGAATGTAGTTCATTCTGTCACACTGTCTACTTTTTTCAACAGACATTTTAAGAACTTGAGTTTTTTTAAACTCTTTATATTCTGTATTTAAATGAGTGTCTCAATGTGAACGTTAATTCAGCCTGTCCAGTCATAAATCTTCCTTACTTAACAGCAATGTTACTTGTATTGTGTTTAATTTGGTATATATGAATATGGATGATGGAGGAACAAGAAATGAATGTTTCAAATAAAATGGTAACACTGGATGTGACATATTCAAGGGCAGTATGTAAAGTGTGTAGTTTTGGGTTCTGATTTATATGTATTACAATATTTTTTTACACGAGGCTGGAATTTCATTCCCTATATCTAGAATAGTAGAATAAGAATTCACTTAAGTTCCAGCTCAGTATTAGAAATCTTTTTCAGAGAGGAACATACTGTAAAATGCTCATTTTCATATTTATTATGGTACAGATGACCATGATTGAATATGTAGCCATGAGCTGCCACATTAAAATTCACGTTAATGAACAATGTGATGACAGCAGTGTTTAATTTAATCATGACTTGTGGATGTTATTTTTGTGCAAAGTGACAGTTAGTTGCTTTTATGTTAGATTACAGTTCTAACACATAGGTGCTGTTCCTCTATGGAATCCTGATTGAGAGCTGTTGTGTATCTGCATGTGGTAATCTCAAATATACATAAACGATACTAATTACAGACATCTTGAATTAACTTCATAAGTTGACAGTCATGCAACTGGTAAAATTTCCCAGCTTTTAAGGAATCAACCTGAAGGTTCATCATCATCATTCATAAAAATTTACCACTGGATCCTATCCTGAGCCACTATTTTACAAGTATTTCTCCAAGAACCACTTTATTTTTCCATGCATGCACTTCTATTATAATTTTTCAGATTGTGAGCATGGAATACAGCTCCACCACCAGCCGTTGGCATACTTTAAATAAATCCACCTTCTAACTGAAATGTAGTATTTTTTTAACAGTAATCCCCACCCTGTTACAGCTTTATTATATCTGAATAAAGTTCTTTCACTTATCACTGTGTCACGATTGACTGCACAATTTTATGATGATAACCACAATGCTATTTGCAGACTGTTTGTCATTAGTACATTTTTAAACTTGTCACATGTTGCAAGAAGACTCGTTCAATCCTAACCCTGTATACCCTGAATTGCTGTGATTCTGAAGTTCTCATTTTTCGTAAATGATGTGGATATGCAGGAGAAAATATGAATGATAGAACGGTGTAAATGACTACTCAGTGCTGAAATTTTCTCTGAATGTGGCTGTGTTACATGATAAGTTAGAAATGCATCATTATACACTAGAAATTCCTGTTTAATATATCAAATTACTTAACTGAATAAATATGTAAAAAAGGCGCAGCAACTAACAATATAGTATTCCGTATTCCGTATTGAGGGGGTGGGTTTCCCCATGCACTTAGACTGGTCAGTGGTCCACTGTGTGTCCCCCTTTAATTTCTACTGTCTCCATACCCTACCAGTACTGGTGCTTACTATCAGCCCCTTTCTGCCAGCAAGGTTCCAACCTCCTCTGGCAGTGGTATCTAATAGTTAGTCCCTTTCTGTCAGAGAGGTCCCCCCTCCTCTGGCAGTGGTACCTAATACATCCCCCATCTACCGGAGGAATTGGAAACTACTTGGGCAGGAAATGTTGCCTAATTTTGCTCAGAGGTCTCCTAGAGACATGAGGTTCTTTTACGTGCCGTAAATCTACGACACGGGACCCACGGCTTAAAGTCCCTCCCGGAGGACTTGTTCCCTGAATTTTTCCGCCCTTAAAAATTCCACGACCTCCGCCGGGTTTTTGAACCCGCGTACTACGAGTCATGAGGTGGGAATGTTACCTCTAGACTACGGAGGCCGCTAACAATATAGTAAGTATGATACTTAAGCACAATAGACCACTGTAGGTCGCGGTGCAAGGGCCAAGAAGACCTACGCGTCATACATGTATGCTACTTCATTATCCCTTTATATGTTCTATAATATTCTGTACTACCCTGAATATGTCCCTATAGTGATTTTACTCCTACTGCAGCCTATGAAGAATGCTTATACAAAAGAGTCCACCTCATTACTATATTTACAGGAGATGGTGAGCTGGCAACATAATAGTGAAGTTCCTAGAGCACCAGACCTAAGTCCTGGGCAGGACACATAAAACACATATTCAGCATCCCAGCACACAAATTTCACTGTTGGTAACTGAATACTGAACAGCAAATGTTATTGCAAATGTTTAAAAGTCACTATTACTTGGGAAACAAAACAATACAGCACAAGAAAGCGTGAAACTTTTGTTTCAACTGTCCAGTCTTCATGTTCTTTATGTTAACTTCACTGTCATTACAATTTTTCAACCCTTTTTATAAATCTTCCAATATTCCTTTTTCTTCATGGAACACAATTCAAAATTTTTGGGATACAATTTTCTTCCAATCTTTAAAAATGTTGATAGCATTAATTTCTGTAGTAACATACATCCTGTATTACTAATAACCATATTCCTCTCTAATACAAATACAGTAGAACTTGGTTATAACGTCATCAAAGGGACCTAAAAATAGTATCGTTATAAACGAATGTCATAACCGAAATGGGCACTTCCACAGTAGCCTTATGTTAGTCACGTAAAAATCTACCAAAAACTTAGTTAAAATATTGTATTTTTTAGTGAAATACGTAGTTAAGTACAGACTAATGTAACATTAACGTGGAATTGTCCAAATGTGTAATATCAAAGACATATTACGGCGCTTTTCACTGACAATACACACAATATTTCACGAATCACTTTAACTTTCTCTTCAATGCTTAAAACTTTCCTTTTCATTGCCATGTTTTCGCTACTGCACTTCTCTGGGTTTAGGCAGGAACACTATAGGGTAAGTAGACAATGTGAGGTCCTGTTAGACGAGATTCTAGGAAAGGAATGCAGTTAACAACCTGCCGCGTCCTCTTGCACTATTCACGCAGTCCCACCCCACACTCTTGTTTTCGCATAAAACCCACGCTCCTCTTGCAGCCCGCGGTCGTATTCTTCCAGGACAGTCACGTCAGCAAGTAGAGAAAGTGAGGGTGGGCAGACACATCGAACTTTCCCACGATATCAGAGAAATTCAGGAATGAAAATGACGTTACATACGAGGTTGATGCATTTGTGCATGTCGTACTAAGCAAGGTATAAAAACAGTTGCTTTATGAGGAATTAGTTCGTAACATTGAATATTTGACGCAATAGACAAGGTGTCACAGAAACCGATGTTGCTATAACCAAGTTTTACTGTATCTTTGATGTTTTCGTCTGTAAGTCCAGAATGCATTTCATCCCATTACTGCACAGATATCTGATCTATATAAAAGAACACATATTTCCTTTGGTACAACTTTGACAATGGGTATCCTTGAAAGAGTTCCATTTTGTCACTAATTTCTGAAAAACTTCTAATGCACTCTCTATATCCTTGTTTGTTTTATGTCTAATCGCCTCAGTAAGGAAATCACTGTCCTCTATTCTTGATTCTTAGAAGGCCACTGATATTATTTTCAATGTAAACGTTTTAAACATTGTAATCTCCCTAAATTTCGCACAACAAATAATATGCTGATATCTGTAAGTCACATTCTGATTTTGCTATATTTACTTGATCATCTCCAAACAACAGTCAGTTCAACTTTACATTATTAATAATATAATCTGTCATTTTTCTCCTGCCATCTTTAACCTGGCACACGTGAGGTGGGAAAATGTAACAAAAGTGGTAAGGTGGGGTCCCACAGATATTACATTGACTACATCAACCCCACCTTTGGTTTGGTTGTAAAACAGAATTATTTCTGGCTTAGATGTTCTCTCACTACATTATCATCATAATGTGAAATCATATTTTTTTGGGCACAAATGAAATGGGTTGAAAACCAAAAATGGTAGTCATTGGGCTTCTTCGCTTGGTATTGATCAACTCAGGTGACAGTTCTCTCTTATTTTTCTTGATTGTTCTCACCATAGTTAACTTATGATATTCTAACAAGGATTTAGCCAATGGTTATCTTGTGAACCAATTATGTAAAGTCACATTGCGACCTGATCCAGATATAGGTGCAGTCATCCTTGTAACAACTTCAGACGTTGTGTTTGAAACTTTGTGTGGGCCTTCAGATTGTGCACCAACATAAACTTCCAATTTAGAAGTATAAAATGACTTGGCATCAACCAAAGCAAATACGTACTACTTTCAGGCCATACTTTGCCGGTTTGCTTCGAATGTGCTTCCGGAAACTGCATCTTCCACGAAACGCTTCTAACTTTTCATCAATCACTACGTTTTCTTCTAAAGAATATAAAGACACACATACTTCGTTGAAATCATCAAAAATCTCTAATTTGAGCCAATTTGTCATAAGATCTTCAATCAGTTCTATTACTTCGGTCGTCAAATCGCAGACATCTAAGAAGAAAACGGAAACGAACAAGTGACATTGTTACAAATGATAAAACAATTCCGTCCAGTGTGACTGTTGAAGCTTTTACTACTTCACTTCTTAGCACCCTAACATGTTTCGGTCCCTAGAGACCATCATCGGAGGGGACATCAATAATTTTTTAAACTACCAATACAATTTTACGCAGTAGCATAGTGGTTAAGGTACTATGCTACAAGCCGAAAGGTCGGGGGTTCAAGTCCCGATGAGGTCATGGGGATTTTTTTCACTTGACCTAATCTTTCCGGCCGCACTAGGCCTCTAACATAAATGAGTACCAGGAATTAAATAATTTTCCTGGGGAGTGAAGCGCGGCCGGCTGACAACCTTACCGCCATCTTTGAGCCGATTGTCAAGGTAATGTTTCAGGCCTTCACGGCCTGTTACAGGGATAGCTTTACTTATTTTTTTACTTTTACTATTACACTGGGTGTTTTGATTTTTAAAATACATAAATATACAATATTTGTAATAGTAGTTTCTACAACTATTGATGTCCCCTCCGATGATGGTCTATGGGTGCTAAGAGGTGAAGTAGTAAAAGCTTCAACAGACACTGGACGGAATTGTTTTATCATTTGTAATATTGTTAATGTGACAGACCAGAATGAAACAAATAAAAAAAAGTGACATTGTGCTTCTAATTATTCAACACCGGTACCAATCATGGCCCATAGATTATGAAGATTCTGGTGACTAGACTTACAAAAATCAGTTAAACCTAAAAGTCCAACCACAGCCTTTATTTCACTCATATTAGTCTTTTGAACACTATTATTTTTGGCGTAATTTACTTGCTTTCGTTCTATTTCGTCATCCGTATTCTTCAAAATTAGATCTATCATGTCATTAGGAAAAAATATCTCACAGCAATCTAAAACTGATCTTGCATTTTTTGTGTTGCCTAGAACACCAGGGGCTTGTCTATTTATGTTATGTGCTCGAGTTCTTATTTGAGATCCTAACTTGCTTTTACTCCATTTTGTTTCCTATACTTCGCCAAGTAAGAGGCCCCCTTTGTGGATTCTTCCTCACAGTCTTGTTCTGTATCAGACTCATGGTTACTAATTCCAAATCAATTTCAATATCATTATCTCGGCTAAATGGATCCTCGACTGTCAAAGCATCATCTATAAATTGACGTAACCTCTGTTCTTCCTGCTAGTAACTCATATGGTAAAAGAAAGATTATTCTCAAAATACCCTCTAAATATTTACAAAAACGTATTTGCTTATAGTTGGTATGTAAGAATATAGAAGGCATAGCAGCAACGATAATATTTTAGTAGAATATACATAAAAACAACTTAAGTTTCGGAGCAAATATAGTCATACTTTTGGTAACATGGGGTCTTCTGCACCCCAGCACATTTTACACGTCTGCACACTAAACTTGCTTGCGCGCAACAGCGTGTTTTCTATGGAGTCTAGTAGCAGGTGATGGGAGGGATAGCTACACTGAGGCATGACTCATTGCCACATGTTCTTAAAAAGTTACAGTCAATTTAAAATCGTTGGAGTCTGT